AGCTTATTGGTCCTACAAATACTTCCATATATGTCTATATACATACATATACATAGTCCGACTTATCTTGCTATGAAAATTAAGCTCAAGATTATAAGCTCTCCATGATATAAAATGGAACTTTAGATAATGCATAATGCATACGATATGTCTATCTATCATTAGTTTTACATTCCTCATTTCTCTTGTTCAGCTCACCATATACTACCTCACTTCCCATTGTCTACTTCTTATTAACTTCATCGCACTTTGTCTAGTTCCTCATTGCTTTGATTCTGATTCCCCAATATCTTACCTTCGCTCTCTATTCCACATTCCTGATTTCTAATTGCTTGTTCGTCGCCCTTTATTATTAATATTTCATTTTTTCGCCCTAATAGTTCCTCGTTCCTTGGTTTCCTTTCTGATCCATAATTCCTAATCGTTCCTCATTGCTCAGTTTATGTTGCCCACTTCCAGCACCTCATTCCTCCTCATTCCCTTCTCGGCATTTATTTCTCGTTACTCACAATTTTCCACATTCCTCCTTCTTAGTTCCCAATGGTAGCTTCTCATTCTTAATTCGTAGTTCTCAGTTTCTCGTTTCTCATTCTTCATTTCGTGCTCCTAGTTTGACCATTCACTTGCCTCATTTCCCGTTTCCCGTTTCTCGTTCTCTATACTTCATTCCTTATTCCTAGCGCACACAGTTTCCGTTCTCCCACTTCCACTTCACCTAACCCTTTCCCATTGCTCGTAGCCCATATTCCGTTCTCCCATATCGCGTTGACCATTGACCATTCCTCATTCCCAGTTCCTCACTCCCCCATTCCGTTTTCCCCACACCTCAACTCCCATTCAACATTCCCTGTGCCTCATTCCGCGCTGCCTATGACACAATTGAATCATGGACTCGAAGCTGATTTCCCTTTCCTTTGGCACGACTGCTGCCACAACARCAACAACAACAAAGGAAAACTCTTCCTTTTCGCTTCGATATTTGTTTTCTTCTTCCAAAATTTTCATTTTTTTCCCAGCCTCGTTGCGTTCAACTTTGAACCATCGGCCAGATCTTGTCCAGGTTTTTGTCTGCTGCCAAAAAAAAAAAAAAAAAAATGGTAGAAGAAAAAAGAAGACAAAAGATTTTCGCATGCTCTGGACAGAGAGAAGCTGCTGCGGCTGCTGCTGCTGCTAGCTGCGACTTTTTCACATTTACTTTCTCTCGCTCTGCCAGACTGCGATTCGAACCCGGAGCCAGACAGCAAAACTCGACATTTCAGCATTGGTCGAGGTCAAGATTAACAACAACAGCCGGCATTGGCACTGGCTCTGGCTCTGGCTTTGGCTTTGGCTCTGGCTTTGGTTCCGTCTTCAGCTCCGGCTGCCGCATCATTAGCTGTCGCATTAGCAGCAGCAGCAGCAGCAGCAGCTGCTGCTCACGACTTTGTTGTTGTTGTTGTTGTTGTTGCTGTTATTGTCGCTGGGCATTTTGCGCATTGCCCGTCGCCAAAATGGAAAACTTGGCACACATTTCTATTAACGCAGGCGCTAGCAGCTCCCCCTCGCCCCTTTTCACAGACATCCCCGCCTGCCGGCCTCCGTCGCTGCCGCTGCCTCTGCCTCCGTCGCTGCCGCTGCGCATCGTTCTAGCGCATTGCGGAACCGGCTCACGCGCATCTCAAAATCTGTAAAAGCGAAATGTTAGTCTCTCCCCTCTCTGACGCCCCCCCTTTGTTACACCCAGCACTTGTCTTCCTCTTTGTTATTCATAGCCATCGCCCATGGAGTGCTCCAAATCACGTCCAAGCCGCGGACTTGGCATGCAAAAATCTTCATTTTTTTTGGTTTTTTGGTTTTTTGATATTTTTAGAATTTGTTTTGGGAACTCGTTTGCCAATTTATCTCAGCGTATGAGTGTGTGTGTGATTGTGTATGTGTGTGTGTCGTCTGCCGCATGGGCATCATCACTTTCTACCTTAAACAGGATTGGCACAGGATGCCACGTCGCGCTGATTATGTGACATCCCCATTGGAAGCTGTTCGCTGCGGCTGCTGCTGATGCTGCCTCTGCCTCTGCGGCTGCGACTGCGATTGCTGCTGCGGCTGCAGCCGGGTGAAAGTTGTTTTGGGCCCGCGGCACAGTTTGGACCAAAGAAAATGCTTGGGTCTCGGCTGGCAGCTGGCCACATAGACTGTCTCGTCTGCCACCTGTCTATCTATCTCTATCCCTCTCTTGCTCTCTCTCGCTCTTTCTCTCAGTCTCTAGCTGATAGGAGGAAAAATAATATACAAAATTTAAGCTTCAATTTGGAAAATTCTGGTAAAGACTTGGGGAAATTTTTAAAAAAATCTGAAAACTGCATTTTTTATACATTTTTGATTCATTAATTTTTTTTTAGTTAACTAATTTAACTGAAAATATCTTAGGAATATTTTATTATACTTTTTGTTATTAGAAAGGAAAATTTTTATTTAAATTTTGACAATTCTAAATAAATGGACAACTAAAGAAAAATTGTTTATTATATTTGATGAATTGCATACAAACTTTAAATTTGAATTTAAAAAACATAAATTAAATTTTAAAAATAAAATTATGTCAATTGAGTTTTTTTAAGGATTTAAATTTAGATTTTAAAAAATTAAGAATATTT